AAGACAGTGGACTGTAGGAATTGTAGCTTGTCTCAGCATTGGAGAGCAATTTGGCGATACCTAGAAAGTTTGTGATGTGCACATCTAACAAACCAGCGATATGTTTTCCTGGGCTGTTATGCTGACTTACACAAACAAGGGCAGATTCATGCCAAGGAGTATGGTCAGGCTGTCTGGAGGATATTCTTAATATTTTATGACCACAGAATGAAGTCCACTTCTCAAAAGTAGACCAATACAGTCCACTCTAACATATATGAAGACAGCAGGACAGCTATTCCCAGGCTAATGGTATGTGACAAGAAAATAATAAATCAGTAGCAGAGGAAGGAAGAAATATAAGCACATATTAAAAGTTGTGACAATTGTGATCTCCCAAAAACCAATCACAGATAAGCAAGCCACTTAAGAAATCAGTAAGCAAAAAGACTACAAATATATAGTATACACATATTTTTACATATATATTTATTTAAACCATGCCAGATTTAAGTTTAAAAAAATGCTAAAATAACCTCAGCATAATAAAAGCTATGTATGATAAACCCACAGCTAACATTATACTCAATGGGCAAAAACTAAAACCATTCCCTCTAAGAACAGGAACAAGACAGGGATGCCCACTCTCGCCACTCCTGTTTGACATAGTACTGGAAGTACTAGCCATTGCAATTAGACTAGAGGAGGAAATAAAAGGCATCCAAATTGGAAAAGAAGAAGTAAAGTTATCCTTATTTGCAGATGACATGATATTGTACATAAAAAACCCAAAAGACTCCATTAAAAAACTAATTGACTTAATAAATGGATTTGGCAATGTAGCAGGATACAAAATTAACGCCAAGAAATCCATGACATTTCTATACACCAACAGTGAAATTACAGAAACAGAGACTAAAAAAGCAATTCCACTTACCATTGCATCAAAAAAATTAAGATACCTAGGAATAAATTTAACTAAGGAAGTAAAGGACCTATATGCAGAAAACTACACGACACTAAAAAAAGAGATAAAGAAAGATGTAAAGAGATAGAAGAACCTACCATGTTCATGGATTGGTAGAATCAACATCATCAAAATGTCCATACTTCCTAAAGCAAACTATAGGTTCAATGCACTCCCCATTAAAATACCAACGACATATTTCACTGACCTAGAAAAAACTCTCCAAAAGCTCATTTGGAACAATAAAAGACCCCAAATAGCCACAGCAATCCTGAGAAAGAAGAGTAAAGTAGGAGGGGTCTCAATACCAGACTTCAAACTGTTTTACAAAGCTACTGTTCTCAAAACAGCCTGGTACTGGCACAAGAACAGACATATAGATCAGTGGAATCGAATCGAGAACCCAGAAATCAACCCAAATCACTATGCTCAATTAATATTTGACAAAGGAGGCACAAATATACAATGGAATCAAGACAGTCTCTTCAATAAATGGTGTTGGGAAAATTGGACAGATACATGCAAAAGAATGAAACTAGATCACCAACTTACACCATACACAAAAATAAACTCAAAATGGATACAGGATTTAAACATCAGACGGGAAACCATAAAAAGACTAGAAGCATCACAGGCAGCAAAATCTCAGACATATGTCAAAAGAACTTCTTCACTGATACTGCCCCTAGGGCAATGGAAGCTAAAGAAGGAAAATAAACAAATGGGACTACATCAAAATAAAAAGCTTTTTTACAGCAAAAGAAACCATCAACAAAACAACAAGAAAGCCCACTGTGTGGGAGAACATATTTGCAAATGTTACCACTGATAAAGGCTTAATCTCCAACATCTACAAACAGCTTATACAACTAAATAAAAGGAAGATGAATGATCCAATTAAAAAATGGGCAATGGTCCTAAATAGAATATTTTCAAAAGAAGACAGAAGGAAGGCCAAAAGGCACATAAAAACATGCTCAAAGTCACTAATTATCCGAGAAATGCAAATCAAAACAACAATGCTGTACCATCTCACACCTGTCAGAACGGCCAAAATCAACAAATCAACAAACGACAAGTGTTGGCGAGGTTGCGGAGAAAAAGGAACCCTTGTGCACTGCTGGTGGGAATGCAGACTGGTGCAACCACTGTGGAGAACAGTGTGGAGTTTCCTCAAAAAACTGAACATGGAACTCCCATTTGACCCAGTAATCCCACTCCTAGAAATATATCCCAAGAAACTAGAAACACCAATCAGAAAGGATATATGCACCCCTATGTTCATAGCAGCACAATCTACAATAGCGAGAATTTGGAAACAGCCTAGGTGCCCGTCAGCAGATGATTGGATCAAAAAACTATGGTACATCTACACAATGTATACTATGCTGCCATAAAAAAGAAGGAATTCTCATCATTTGCAGCAACCTGGATGGAATTGGAGAACATCATGCTGAGTGAAATAAGCCAATCAATGAAAGAGAAACACCACATGACCGCACTCATTTATGGATAATAAAGAACATTATAAATTGATGAACCAAAAGATAAGAGACAATAAAGCAACAAGCAGACTGTCAAATTACAGCGGGGAGGGGAGGGAGATCTGGGGAGATAATAGATCAACCGAAGGACTTATATGTATACATGCATATAACTACAACCAATGGACACAAAACTCTGGGGAGAGAGGGGATGTATGGGAGGAAGGGGGCAAAAAAAAAAAAATCAATAAAATATATTTAAAAAAATAAAATAAATAAATAAATGCTAAAATAAAAAACCAAAAGCATAAGCCAATGTGCATAATTGCTGCCTTGGACTAGAATTCTGAATCACCTTCAAACATTTATTCAGGGGTTTTTTTCAATTACCGTTGACATTCAAAACTATGGAATGCTTCACAAATTTTCATGTCATCCTTGCCCGGAGGCCGTGCTAATCTCTGTATCGTTCCAATTTTGGTACATGTGCTGCCCAAGAGAACAGTCTGCAGTGTCTTTACGCCAGATACTGTCGTGACAATGACTGCACAATCGATTCCATTAACTCCACACGTAGCCCACATGTTAATTTTATCGCACTGCCTCAATTTTCCCGGAAATTTTTAAGCAGAACAACTGATAAAAATTGAAGCTGACCAGCACACATTTCACATTTCTCCAAACCTTGAATAAAAGTGCTTTTAGACCCATAATTGGCCAAAATGCAGATAACAAGAGAAAAATACTCATCTGAGTGGCAAAAAAGATGAGTCACCAGGCCCTGAACAGTCATTGAGTGGATGCCATCCATCAGCAAACCTCTACATAAGGTGGTTACACTGTGTGATCCTTACAAATAATGACACCAGACTGAGCCGCTCCTCTGACTCACAATAATACTCGCTCCACTTACCTCTTTCTTTCCAACTAATACGCTGGGAGAGAACTCATCACTTTATGACTCTCGGTCTGGTTCAGGCACTCAAAATATACAGGCAGACCGGAAATAAAGAACTCTTAGCAACATAAAGGTTGGGAGCAGGGAATTCAAAACAAACTGAAAATATTATTTTCATATTATCTCACTGCTTCTCACATCTTAATCCTTTAGGGTTTTTTTTAACCTGGCAGTATTTTTATTAAGGTAATTATAGATTCACATCTATAATAAATCTATAATAATAATAGCATAATATGCTAAATAGACCAGATGTCCTTCTGGACAACCTTCCAGATGGAGCCAGGGCTGCAAAGGAAGCCCGGGTCCCAGGTATCAGAGGGAAGCCGGTGCCGGCAGCCGGGGGAAGGAAGGCCTACTCTTACACGAATTTTGTGCATCAGGTCTTTAATACAGTTATAAGAAATAATACAGAGAAATCTCATATGCTTGGCCCAGTTTCCTCCAATGGTAACATTTTGTAAAACTACAGTACACTATCACCTCCAGGATATGGACATGACACAGGCAGAACCCACCAATTTTTTTTTTTTTTTTTTCTCAACTGAATCTTTATTATCTCCAATATATAATACTTGCTTAAAGATAGTCTGCCTGTGGGCTAACCTAGCTCATGTGTGTCATTTACATGTACATGATATATATAACATTTATATAAATGTACTGCACATATATAAAAGGCAAAGTGTCCTTTGATTGAATTATTATTATTCTGCTCAATGGGAATTGACAAAGAATCAATGAGCTGAGGCCCTGAGCCAGGAGCTAAGCAGAACCCACCAATCTTATTCAGACTTCCCCTGGTTCATTTGCCCTCACTTGGGTGTGTGTGTGTGTGTGTGTGTGTGTGTGTGTGTGTGAGTTCTACACAATTTTATCACTTGCACAGATGGAGCACCACAAGGCTCCATCATACTGCCCTTTTATAACCACATTCACCTCCTACTCTCCTATCCCTAATCCCTGAAAACCACTAGGCTGTCCTCCATTCATCCTTCAATTTCTTATGTCCCATCCTACAGGGAGTAGCCATCCATAAAACCAGCTCTCCCCATTATCTCCTGTAATTACCCTCCAGTTCCACATCGATGAGAATCAACACAGCTAGCCATAGGAGGAATGAGATTTTTACTCTATTGAAAGAGAAGACTGTCCAAAGCAAAAAAGAAAAGTTTTGGTATTCAGGTATATATGTCTCCAAAATGTGTGTATCCACTAATATGCACATTTCTGGCTATAAAACAAGGGGAAAAATATCATATATTCTAGAAACTCTATAAAGCTTTTTATAAACATAAGTACCAATTCCTCTGAAATCAAAGAAAGCCCTGCTGTTTCTCAGACTGCCCACTTGAGAGGAGCATGATTCAGCATTTTTCATTTCTATGAAGACTATTATCCACTTCAACGGCAACTTAAATCATTTTATCAGCACATGGAAACTCTGCCTTCCATGTAGAGAAATATCATTCCATCCTTGCAAGCTATTAGACACACTGTCCTTTATCTAGATTTAAAAATCCATAAGACAAAAGATGTGACTTAAAAAAGAGCATCAGTGTCTCTGCAACGTTCATGGCATAACCAGTGTGTGAGCAATTGGAATTCATACCTGCAGAGCTGAGGAGAACACTGAAGTCCGTCCCCCTCTGCGATTCTCCACTTTCATTATCGACTTCTTTTTCAGTATCTTGATATCGATCCCAGTTAGAGACTATCTTTCTCTTAGAATAATTTCCCTGTTCATCATTCTCTTCTCCATAGGTCTCTGCATCACTGCCATCTTCCACCTGCAATCATTGGAGAAAATCAATACATAGTCAAAGTAAATCTTGACCTCAGTAGCCTCAGCAGGAGTACAAGGTATCACATTAGAGAGCACATTACTGACCAAGCTCTCTGAGGATAATAAGTAATATTTCAAGACAATCCCATTACACCAGAGTGTACTTTCAGGGTAAATTTTCACTTAGCTTTGAAAAGGAAATCTGGTGAGTTCCTACTTTAAAATTTATGTGGCTTATATATCTCAAGTTCACCCCACTGTATCCTACTTCAATAGTTGTTTCCTCCTACTAAAATAATCAAGGCTGTTAGAGTGTTAAACTCAAAGGACTTCAGGATAAAAATGGACCCTTTCAATTTACAGATTTTACAAACATTCCATAAATATGTTATATTGTAAACTTTAAATGGGAACTCTGCTCAGATGCATTCTACAGAACAGTTTCCTGTCTTAGGCATTCAGAGGTTGAGAGAGAATGCAAAATGTGAGAAATTATTAAAAATAAAGGGCCTAGTTTCTTCAATAAATAAATTGAAAGGGAAAAAATGGTAGAGAAGAAGGAACATAACCAGTTGTGATGTTGAGAACTTATTTGAACTCTGATTCAAACAATATAATTAGAGAAAATTATTTATGAGACAAGTGAAGAAAGGTGAGCAATGACTGCATATTTGATTATAATAAGGATATTACTTTATTTATATATAGTTCAGTATTGTGTATTATGCTTTTATCTTTCACAACTAAATAATGAACTATTTATGAATGAAAAGAAATGATGTGGGATTTGCTTCAAATAATGGGTGGAAAGGAATGGTGGGTACAGATTAAATAAACTGGACGTAACTCATCATTGCTGAAGCCAGATATGGGAACATAAAAATTCATTATGTTATTCTATCTACTTTTGTATGTGTTTAATATTTTCCATAATAAAAAGAGAGATGCATATAGAATCTAAAGACCAGTTCAAAAAAATAGCCATAAAATTATAAAATCAAGAAAAACTTGTGAAATATACTAAAACAGCCCATCTGTACAGGATGGGCAAGTATACATTTTTTAAAAATAAGTTTGTGTCAACACAGAAACAGGACATGCAAAAACTTGGGAGGGGAAAACAAGCAAAAAAATAATATATGGCTGTAACCGGTTTGGCTCAATGGATAGAGCGTCGGCTTGGGGACTGAAGGGTCCCGGGTTCGATTCCGGTCAAGGGCATGTACCTTGGTTACAGGCATATCCCCAGTAGGGGGTGTGCAAGAGGCAGCTGATCGATGACTCTCTCTCATCGATGTTTCTAGTTCTCTATCTCTCTCCCTTCCTCTCTGTACAAAATCAATAAAATATATTTGAAAAAAAAAATAATAATAATAATAATATATGAAACCCCATCATCCCATCACTGAAAGTACCACTACTGACACTATATTGCGTATACTTCCAGATTTTTTTCTATATACATATTTTTCTATCTATATACTATTTTTTGGTAACCGGATTTTTCTCATCGATATTTTGAAAAGAAAATCTGGTGAGTTCCGACATCACCATTTCAGTAAATTTTATTTCATATGATATCTAGACTATTTCCAAATTTCCCTAACCCCCAAAATCCCTTTACAGATAGTTTACTCAAGTCTGTGTCCTATTCAAGACCATGCACTGTATCAAAATTGTTTGTCATTTAAGTCTCTTTGAATATAACACATCTCTATTTTTATTATATTAATTTACTGAGTGCAGAAGGACTTATCTTCTGTCTGACTACTTCCCTAAAGTGCTTTCTTGTAGATTAGTTTCTAGGAAATATCAAATTTTAAAAATCTAAAAAAATCTAACTGCCCAATGGAGTCATGATAAAGTGTATGTTTGTTTGTTTGTTTGTTTTGGGGCTAAAATTCATCAGAGATGGTGCTCTGAACTTTATAAAACATCACATCAAATAACAGATGATAAAAGGCTAAACCAACGTAAGTAATGCTAAGATTAACCAGAGTTTGGATAATGAAGACTGACCCACCCACTATGTTTCCACTCTTGCATCTAGGAATTCTCTGTGTGGTGTTATCTTGTTCCACTAAAAATTTCTAGTTACCTATCAACCATTCAATCCTCAATTCAAATTGCATACGTTTTCATGAAATGCTGAAATAACTGAGCTTCCAAGATCACTCTCAGCCCTCAAATATCATCATAAGCTTCCTTGACAGCACAAAGACAAAAATGGCAATCTACATTATAACGTAGGCATTGCAAAGAATGCCTAAACCCTAGAGCTTTCCTGTCATTGCTAGAAGTTTCTCAGAAAGAAAAGATGCTAGCAGGTGAAAGGCATGTGATTGAATGAGATATGCTATATAAATAACAAATACCAGGGACATTCTACAGAAAACAGCTTTGCAGCTAATAAGAATTTGGGGACTAGAGCTGGAGCTGAACATACTAGAAAGGTTTAATCTGGGAAAATCCAATATTCTTTTGTTGGCCCACTGGGTAATCAGAGTTCAGAGACCTCCCCAGTTAATACAAAACTGAACACAGTTGTAGCACATGGCAAAAAATGTAAACCTGGACAAAGTAATTAGCTTGATATGAAAGAGGGCTCTGATCAGAAACACCTAAGGAACTATGAACTCAATGAAAGAAGCACTGGCATGGGAGGCAGGAGACCTAGACGGAATTAATGGTCCTGCCATCATCATCATTTGATATTAACCAAATGTTTATAATAGGCTGGACTTCATAGAATTGAATAACTCACTAATCCCCAACTTGGAAAACGCACTGACAAGGATCTCATTACCCCCACCAACTGCAGTAACAAGGACGGTTGTCATTAGCCTCCATCAGAGGGTACGTAGTAAGAAGTAATGAAGATTAGAAGACATTTGATGTAACTTGGAAAAAGATGTATTTTAAAAACTCCTAAAGATTTTATGTTTGGTTCCTTTTGCAAAAATCTGAGATAAAATGTGAAAACTATAAATATATAGACAGCATTATTATATTACTATCATCATTCTAAAACATGTCTGGTATACACTAAAAACTAGAAGACATTGATGAAAAAAGTTAAAGAAGACACAAATGGAAAGATAGTCTGTGCTCATGGACTGTAAGAAATAATATTGTTAAAATGTCCATATTATCCAAAGCAATCTATAGATTCAATGTAATATCTCTCAAAATTCCAAAGGCATTTTTCACAGAAATAGAACAAACTATCTTAAAATTTGTATGGAACCACAAAAGACATCAAATAGCCAAAACAATCTGAGAAAGAAAAACATCAGACTCTATTACAAAGCTATCATAATCAAACAGTATAGTACTGGCATAAAAACACACTAATGGTCAACTAATTTATGAAAAAGGAGCCAAAACTTTATAAAGGGGAAGGACAGTCTTTTAATAAATAGTGCTAGGAAAACTGCACAGCACACCATACACAAAAATCTACTCAAAATGAATTAAAGACTTGAAAGTGAGACCTGAAACCACAAAACTCCTAGAAGAAAACATAGTTCAGAGGCTCCCTCACATCAGTTTTGGCAGTGATGTTTTGGATATGACACCAAACACAAAGGCAATGAAAGCAAAAATAAACAAAAAATCTGCTGCACAGCGAAGAAAACCATTAGCAAATTGAAAATGGAACCTAAAAAATAGCAAAAAATATTTGCAAATCATGTATCTCATACGACCTCTACTTCCACAACTGATTTTTAAAAGCAATTTTATAAAACAATGTGTGCATAATTATGTTTTTACATGTTATAGGCCCAACAATACATTTGCAAATACCTGCTCATGGGAGGTAGCTGGGAGCAAAACTGCACTGGACTAAGGAAATGACTCCATATGGAAACTCAAATACACAGAAACAAATGAACAATACTAGAAATCCTATATAATAAAAGCCTAGGTAGCGTCACGCACAACATCACCACAAGATGGCCACACTCACGTCATCACAAGATGGCCACTACAAGATGGCCACCACAAGATGGCCAACAAGGGAGGGCAACTGGAGGTGAGATCAGGCCAGCAGGGAAGGGCAGTTGGTGGTGACCAGACTTGCAGGGCAGGGCAGTTGGGAGCAATCAGGCCAACAGGGGAGGGCAGTTGGGGCTATCAGGCTGGCCGGGGAGGGCAGTTGAGGGTAATAAGGCTGGCCAGGAGGGCAGTTGGGGGTGATCAGGCTGGCAGGAGAGTGTAATTGAGAGTGAACAGGCCAGCAGGGGAGGGAAGTTGGGGGCAATCAGGCTAGCAGGGGAGGGCAGTTGGTAATGATCAGGCCGGCAGGGAAGCTGTTATGTATCAATCAGGCCAACAGGGGGATGATCAGGCTAGCAGGCAGAATGTTTAGGGGCAATCAGGCAGGCAGGCAGGAGAGGGTTAAGAGTCAGCTGTCCCGGATTGTGAGAGGGATGTCTGACTGCCAGTTTAGGCCCCATCCCTGGGATTTGGGGATCAAGGCTGGGGAGAGACGTGGGAGGTTGACTAGACGTGGGAGGTTGACTAGACGGGGGGCCCCTCGGGAGGGCTCCAGGGCGGTCTGGCCCATCTTGCTTAATCCTGACCAGCCAGACCCCTGCGATCGGGCCTAAACCAGCAGTCAGATATCACCCAAGGGGTCCCAGATGGGAGAGGGTGCAGGCCGGGCTGAGGAACACCACCACACCATGCACGAATGTCATGCACCAGGCCTCTAGTAGGAAAATAAAAAGGCTAATATAACAAAAGTTATAAGAACATGCTTATTCTTCTTCTCTCATAGCTTTTAAAAGATATAAAATTGCATAAGGTAAGAATTGTAACAATTATAATAGGCTGGACTTCACAGAATTGAATAACTCACTAATCCCCAACTTGGTTTTATTACATACAGATGTAATGTGTATTAACAATACCGTAAAAAAGAGAAAGGGGAACAGTCTATATAGGAGTAACGTTTCTTTATCTCATTGGAATTAAGCAGATTCTGATAAGCTAAAATGT